GAAGTGATGATGTAATAAACTTACTGAAATATTAATGTAAGACCGTTTCATAAAAATGGAAGTAAACTAATTTGCTACTCTGAGAATCTAATAAAGGTTAAATGGTGCATTACCATCGTTATAATTTAATAGTGGAGGTAGTGGGGTATAAAATATAACCTACCGTTTTGAGCCAGCTCATTCCTTGGCAGAGCGTCGAGCCATCAACGCCCGTGAGGACTCCTCGTAGAAAAGCGAAACGTGTGTTGGGTATATTTTTGGTGGTAGTATTTGTGACTGTAATTGCGCTTATGTTATTTATTTTTATAAAAGTGGTGGGTAAGAAAATTAACCCTTTGAGAAAAAAAAATATAAATAGTCAAATTGTTGAATCAAACACTAAAATTTCTAGTAAATTGATGATATACACTGCCTCTGTGGTCAAACGGTTATCATGCCGGACTGCTGTGTTCATGGCACCCGTGACACTGGGTGTCCCTTGTGCGGGGCTAAGAGTGTGTTGCGTTGCGTTATGCACTGTTTACTAAACGATGTGAAAACACGAGTCCTAAAAATTTTCACTATAGAAAAAATAAAACACAAACTTACATTGAAATTTTATATATAGATTTTTTTTATATCAACTGAACTAAATAAAACACGTCTCTTCGTCGTATCTTCTACGATATACATTTTTCAAATGGCTTTAACGAATTCTGAAATAAAGCCAGTATCTTCTCTTCTCTGCTTCTCGACCCAACCAAAATGAACCGTATTAGTAAGGGAAAATGTTTAATTCAAGCTGAGGCAGTATCGACTCTTGACGCGATGTCGTGTCGATACGTCTGGTGACTCCCTTAACCTTGGCCGGGTTCGTGTAGTAGCAAATTAATTTACCTCCATTTTTATTAACACGGATTTCCGCTAACGCCTGAATCTATTTATTATTCAAATAGAGTTATTGTTGATGAAACCAATTAGACACCAATATCTACAAATAACCAGATTTCTGAGCGTTAATTGTGTTATAATACGATAATAATAACTAATTAACTGAAAAAACTCGATTTTAACAATGGCAACATTTTTTCTTATCGTTACCATAATTACGTTCTGAGCTTGGTACAAATAAATTTAAATAATTACATAGTAAAAACTAAAGTAACAAGTTTAAAACAAAACCATTAATTTAAATATCAAATTACATAACGCTCAAAGGAATCCTCTCCTGTCAGATCGAAGGAAATTTTACTAAGTGTTCGATCTTTGTATTAATGGTTATAACAAATTAACTAGTGGAGTAATTTCACAAAATAAAATAAAATATGAATATCATGGTACAAACACATCATAATTTTCATTAAAAATCAATATTAGACATAAAAAAAGGATTTATTTCGGACATTCATTCTTAAGTTACTAAAATAATGCATGAGAACAGGGTTAGAATATTACAATTATTCTGTTTTTATATTACATATGCATTTGTTTCATGCAGATCTTTAGGACTCTCATCATGTGATAGCAGCACTTTTCACGTTTACGATATTAAGTTTTTGGATTAATATAAATTAACCTTTTCCGTGAAGGAAATAGGTTATTATCCAACCAACGCACTATAAATGCCACTACTGCGTCTCCTCGAAGGAGAATGTTTATTTTAGGACGGGGAGTTCACACGTTTTCCCAGCTCCGTGGTAGATTTGTGATGTTTTCTCTTATTAAGGGATATTTCTACTATACACTCGCAAGCGTACGTAATTTAGAAATTAAAGTTGTTGGTACATACCGCCACTCAATTAAAAAGCAACCGTTCTCCCACTGAGTTACCGCCGCTCTTAATCAACAATCAAACAGAATACACAAATGAAAGAGGCAACGAAAACTGTTTAAAATTTTTATCGTTTCATTGTATGAAATAAAAAACATCGGGATGCGCAAACGGCGTGTTGTATTTTTTGCTGGTTTTTTAATTTATAACGCCGCGTCACCGGCAGGTGGCGCTCTGCGATCTGTGCCCGCGATACGTATTAACTGCCTCTAGTGTCTCAATAAAATATCATGACCGAACACACAGTCCGATTGAAATGTATTTCGTAAACTGTTTTTGAATAAAACAGTGCCTGTTTGCGAAAGATTCGCGAGCTGCACACGTGCATTAAGTAGTGCGATCTGTTCGCATGCCTCTCGCGCTCATTCGCAGTCAAATTACACTGAAAGAGCAGCGGCCGGAGGAGCACTTTTGGTACAAAGTATTTCTTAGCATTTTGAATCTTATTTCCTAAAATAAAAAGAGGTACCGCGAGCAGTCGCGAGGTCGCGCGAGACTTGTAGCGACTAGTTCAAGGAGGCACCGTGCTAGCTCCTCCGGCCGCTGCGCACCTCGGCTCTTTCAGTGTGACTTGACCCTTAATAAACAGCGCGCGTGCATCGCACATGCAGCGCATTCGCCAGCAAATATACACACCAGCAGATTTAAAGGGAACACTAGTAAAATCTCTAAAATATTGCAGTATTTTTACAAAAGTGGTATTTTTACTTTTTCATTTTAGGTGTAAAAATTGTCGCAATTTATGTTAATTTCCTACCAATACAGGTTATTCGATGGACTTGAGGTTGGTTTTGCGTTCTTGTAAATGTTATAAGCTTATGTTATATGTATAGTTGAAAAGCTTTTTTTTTATTTAGATCGATTTAATCAATGTTTTATTGCAAATTTTTAAATTTTCATTTTATATTATATATTTATATCGTATTTTGTCAAAAAATTACAAACGCATTTTGTTTTATTTCGATTTTTTTTTTCAATAAAGTGTCTGAGCTGTGTAAACAGACAGCATGTGACGCGTTGTATCTGTTTAAACATTACAAAATAATGAAACAAAATACGCGCAATATCGTGTGACATCAGTGGTAGGGATGGTTCTCAATTGAGACGGTTAGAATCTTTGCGAGGCCAAGTACGCAGGATTTCAATTTCTAATTTACGTACATTTTGCATATTGAAGAAAGTTCACAGCACTTAGAGAACGTCGCGGACAACGGATTAAACTATCTCTTTAGAGGAGACCCATTCCCAACCGTGGGACAATCTAAATACATTTGTGCGTATTCTATATTTTCAAATTATATATTACCAACAACAATTCGTCAAAGAACTGACGGCTGTAGACAGATATTTGCGGCTAAAACCGATTCTCAAACCAAATAAAGTCGACCACTCTATTAAATAGCCTCTTAATAATTCACTACGGCTTTTGTTTAGCTACAATCAACTTTAACACCGTGCGAAATGAATTTTAAAAACGTTATTTTGCGTCACAAACGCTAAGTATTACATAACAATGTTGCGCTCCATTGCGAACATGAATATTGTAATGAACGGTTTTCAAAAGATTCATGCTATAAATTAATCCACTCAGTTTACAAATATTACTATAATTTACGTACACAAATGTGTTAAGGCGCGAACAAATCTGTTCTATCGAGTTCTCAAATAATATCATTTTACAATATGATGCGCAAAAATACGTTTACAAAAATATCAAGGCGTGAACAAATCTGTTCTATGGGGAGCTCAATGACACTATTGTTAATGTCATTTTACAATTTTGATACGTAAACTTACGTATACAAAAATACTAATGTTTAGAGTTTTTGTGTTTTATTTTTAACTGACTTCAAAAAAGGTGGAGGTTATCAACTCGACTGTATGTTTTTTGTATGCATGTTACGCGATAACTCATAAAATTTGTAAACTGATTTTGATGATTCTTTTTTATTGGAAAGAGGGTACCTCAGAAGTGGTCCCATTTAAATTTATACGAAAATATTCCACCTCTAAGTGGCAAAGTAGGGGATAAATGACTTTTGAGGTCGGTTTTTTTAGTACCGATATTACGATATCAATAGCCAAGCTAACTTCTTTTTGAGTTATTCGACAGCAGTCTAACGGTATGGAGTTATTCAAATTCAAATATTTAATTATAGATGTTCACTACACCCAGGTTATATGTTTAAGGAATTTAGCCTGGGCCCAGCTATGATACTTGCTATAGCGATGCACGATTAAGAATGATTTTGATATTCGACTCATTAGTAATTACTAATCCTGTCATTCGAATGATAAATTAGTAACCTACTAATTTTCGTACTCGAATGACCTACTACGTACTAAATAATCATTCATTAGTAATCCAAAGATTTCATAAAGCATTTCTGCTTAGCGTGGATGGTTCCGAGATGTTCCGACATAATAATCATTCACCCGAGTAGAATGATTGTACTTGGAATAGACGTAGGCAAATGATTTGCCCATTCGAATGATTAGTATTAGTAACATTCAAAGGCGCGCAACGCTAACTTGCTACCGCCGCCATGCACTCTGCGCGTCAAGAGGCCAGTCTCTTTCGCATGATGGCACCAAATTCATCTATTCGTACATCGGCGAACATTCCAGAGGCGCAGCTGAATTTATTACCGGGGAAGATATTTCGCAATTTACATTTGGTCACATAAAGTCTACGAGTGTATTTTATATGAGGACTTTACGATATTCTGTCGACAAACTAACAGAGGATACTTTATATCATTCGTTGCCGTTTCAATCAGTTGCAAAATTGTCATATTAAAGTCCATGAGTACAGTTAAAAACAAGATGTGTGATAAGATCATATAGAGATAAACCCTCGAGTGGCAATGACGAGGCAGAAATTGTCACGTGTGATGGTTACCAACCTACCGGAGGTCTCAATTAATAAATTCCATATCTGTTAGCATCGAGGAACGGTTCTTTTACACACACTCCTAATCAATTTAACGCAAATAAAAAGGTAAATAAACTATTTTAATGTAGCTTCAATGTTTTTTTTCTACGGTTAACATAAATATAAATATGCGTCAATAAAATAATACACATCTAAATAAAAGTTTTCAGTTTTTTCCATTTCTGTTCTTCATAATACACGTATAGAATTCTTGGGGTTTGGATTTTAAAACATATAAAATGCACTTTTACTTACCGGGTTTAGGGGGAGGAGTTATGAGATCGTTGCTTGGAGTGTTTTCTTGCACCTATGACAAAAAAAAAACACATCAAAAAACAGATTTATGAAAGTGACGATTTCGAAAAATAACATTTTGGTAAGAAACCTCTTCTGCTTTTGTTGCTGCACGGCGAGGGGAGGGGTCATTTCATGACATACGTCGAATCAAATTTCTTGACGGGCGCAGTGGCAGTGCTCCTCAGGTCTTTGCGGTTTAAAGCTCTGAGCGGCACTGCAACTGTTATCGACAGGCGTGTGGCTTAACACTAGGCGCAAGACTTGTTTCTCGCGTCATTTAGTATCATTAAAAAATAAATAAAAAAATAACCGACCAGACGTTTCAAAAAACACTGAATTACTTTGTGGATTTTACTAGTCATTCCGCAAAATATGTGGTGTGTGTGTGTGTGTAGTTTGTAATTTTGATATCTCCACATCATAAATTCAAAATAATTAAATATTGTTGGTTGCTATAACAACTCTCCTCAACACCGCTTTAGTCGATAATAAGCTTAAAGCAAGGTCTAAAACAACCATAAGATATCCGAGTCTAATAATGAAACGTGTACACGCAAACCGAGTAGATGGTGATTGTTCTCGTAATATTAAATAGTAAACTTAAATCGAACTTGAAACTTTTGTTCACAAACTGCTAGCCTTGAACTAAAATATTTGCAAGGCTTCGTGTTTTGTTTCAAGAATTTATAAAGGTTGGAGCTCACATTTCAGCAAGCTCTAGCACTGCGTTTCATAATGGAGTTTTGCCATGATATTGTAGCGTATTTACGATCGTCCATGTAAAACTGTACCTCTGTACTGTACGGTGTTTATATAAAATTTTTGGAAAATTTTGTATTGAAATTTTTACAGCGCTCTAGCGCTGACGAAGCGCATTACAGTTTTCTATACAGAATATTTTATGCGGTTGCCAGTCGACTAACAACACATACTAAGGGTACGGACGTTTATTATGGACACACTGCTGAAGCACTCTGACAAGACCCATATACGTTCAATGTATTGCAACCTTTATTTTCAAAATAATATAACTAAAATAGGCATAAAGCAAATAAAGCAGAAACCAAAAGCTATTATTGAAATACCTATCCTGGAAAATGTTTGAATGACGTTATTTTATTGTACTGGATTCAATTATTTGATGTTATAATGAATAAAATATATTTACAATATACATTTAATTTGAAAAAAGAATGACTTGAATGATCTGTATTTGGTACGATAGTAAGTTCAAACCTGCAAGCATCCTCTCTGACTACCCCAACCCCACTCCCGCGTTTAGCGCTTTCATTAGTTGCCACGCAGAGTTATCACCATTTAGAACGATCTACTTACAAATGTTTATTTTTATAAGTAAAATGTGATGAATTATTAAAAGGAAGGATGGCATAAGTAGAATTATGTCAAACATATTTATTGGTACATTAGATACAGACAAATGTAATCCACGTTCTCTCCAATTGGAGAGGATGTGGGTTATATTTTTCTGTATCTAATGGAGCAGTAAACATGTTCGACGTAATTCAACTTATGCCATTCGTCCATGAGGGGTGCGATTTATACTATTACGGTGCGAGAACACGATTTTCACGATAGAAAAAAAAACACAAACTTATCTCCAAACATCGAGTTCTAAGGTTTTCGCGATTGTTACACATAGGAAATGAAACTATTTTTCCTAGTATTTGTACTCGCGTCAAAGAACATATAGCTGATG